AGAAATAAAATGAACTTTTTTGATTTTAGCAAATGGCTGCAATGAAACAAAGAGTGAAAAATTTAAAGGGGTCTGAATACTTTCCGTACCCACTGTATATAAGAGTGTGTAAGTGAATGTTCAAAAAGGCAAATCTTACATAAAATACCACCAGAAAACTAATGTTAAACCTTCATTTTGTGTCAATCTCTAGGCATGAAGGCATCAGCAGATCCATCTATCTAGTGACGAGTTGTGTGAATGTGACCGGTCTGTTGTGGATGCAGTGCGTATAAACGTGTCCCGTATGTCTGCGTCCAGGGCGGTTCACAGTTCAGTCAACGGGACGACGGCCATCCCGTGGAGGGGCAGCAGGAGGAGGCTGTCGCTGCTGGAGCAGCTGAGGGTCTGCCGGGAGGCCTGGTGCCCCAGGGCCCCCTGGGATAGAGAGGGGGCCCACGCCGCTATCTGTGGAACACCTGCCGGGGTGAGCTGTCCTCCTCGAGTCTTTATTGTTTAATGTAACATCAAGTCTTCAGTGTGATGGTGAATTACATTTAAAGCTGAGAGTAAGTCAGATCACTGATCCACACAATCAAAGAAACTATTTTTATTTTCTTCTTGAAGTGTTTTATACTTTAAAATGAATGAACTAGTGAATTGAATACATGTCTTGTCCTCCAACAATAATGAATAATTCTCGTGTTTTTTTTTGGGAAAAAGCCTTCAAGCTGGTTATGTTTTTATCACAATGCAATAAATCCCAGATTTTCTGATTTTGCCTGAAGCGCACAGTATTATTATGACAAAAACGCAAATCTATATTGTCACCAAAATTGAATCGGCTGACTTAAAATGTGCTGTCGGACTTTGGTCCCTATGTCCAGTCGCAACAATCTGACTCATCTTGCAACACAAGAGATGAAAGAATATATTCGTTGGACATTTACTGATATTCTTCTCGTCTTTCCCAACTTTCCGTTCATGTTTTTGAGAGGAATTTTATTTTTTTTGTGTCCATCTAGCTCTATTAAGTCTTTCTACTTCCCCCATCTCTTTGCATGCCCTCTCCCTGTTCCCATCATGTGTACGTATCCTAACTCACATCATCTCATGAGCTCTTGGTTGGTTTGCTGCTCGTCAAGTGTTTTATGAAACTGTGTAGCTTCACTGAAGGCATGAGTGCATGCTTCACTAAAAAAACATTCTGTCACAACAGAAGTATTCTGAGCCGGTCTGAACACTGACATGCACATCTCTGCGACACGAAAGTAGTTCCTTTTTCTGTGTGACATCTCATAACACAATGGACGCTCTGTTTTTTCGGGGCTGAATGCAGAAGTGTTGTTGAATAAAATGGTTGTGCATCTCAGGGAAATTACATGACAAAATGGATAATACATCTGCAGCAAACGGAGAATGTGAGGAGGTCAGAAAATCGTATAGAGAAGGGCACGTTTGAAGGAGTGATATTCAAATAAACCCCCAGAAATTCAAACCTCTAACTGGAAGCAACACGTCATTGACCCGTGAGTATAAGTGGTCATGGGGAACGATGGGATGTCAGTTTGTTTTACTGCAGAACAAATTTGCATCATTATGCCTCATGTTGGTTGTAGGCTGGCTGATTATGTCGTAAAGCTGAACGGAAAAAGTTCAGCTTGAACGGGTTCCCGTTGTTCTTCCTATGAATCAGATGCGTGAGTGACTAAATGTTACCGTTATGATTTAACAGAGTAATGGCTCATATCTCATCTCTGCTGCCAGTATGTGTTTGTGCTCAAAGTGTGGTGATTTGCAGTGAACTTATCTCTATTTCTGCGCTCACTGACAGCCACTTCCTGTGTGTGTGCGTGTGTGTGTGTGTGTGTGTGTGTGTGTGTGTGTGTGTGTGTGTGTGAGAGAACACCTCTGAATTCAGTTGTGGTGTGACTGACATTGGTATGCTGTACATGGGATTGCATGTGCTTGGTTTTACCCAAAGTTATTTTGGGGTCAACAAACTGCGTATGCTGTTTTAGTTCAGTTCTCAAAGACGCCGACGTGATCTCTACAAAAAGAACATCTACGCAGTTAAAGCCAAGTTTAATGTCTTAAGTAGAATAGAAAATCATATATTAGGAATAAAAACACTTTTTTATCATAAGCTTATTAAGTGTTTAAACTGCTCTTTCATCGGGGTTAAGTCAGGTCGAATTGTCAACTCACTGTGTGTCATCTTGATTCAAATGTTGCTGAACTCTGATTGGTGCATGAACATTACTGTCATCCCCTTTTTTTCTAACTGAGCTCTGCTTACTTCAAGCCAGTGACAAGACCACAGAAAAACAAGAAAGAATTAGAAATATTTTGTGTGAAATAACCAAAACTTTTCTAACTAACTGGTAAAACCTGTTTGTTCACAAAGATGATTGGGGAAAATAGTATTTATAAGGCCTTTAAATTCAAAATATTCCCTATTTTTCAATCTACATTAGAAGCCCTTAATGAGTGAGGAATCGTTGCAAATGAATTCTGAATAGAAATATAGACTGAGTACTATCTCTACAGCGCTGCATTCGTCAGTCAGTCGGTCTTTAGGAGAGAAGCCCTCCTTGAGTAACATTCAGAGGAAGTTTGGCAACCGTACGTGACAGATTCTGTAATGTGTAATGACAACGTTGCTGGTATGCTAATATGCTCACAATGCTAGCACGCTGATGTTTAGCAGGTATAACGTTTACCGTGCTCACCATGTTAGTTTAGCGTGTTAGCATGCTATCCTTTGCTAATTAGGTCTAAACAACAGGTCAAGCTGAGGAAAACTATATTAGTTTTGCAGGTATTTCGTCATAAACACGTGTAAATACATTTTTTTTTTAGCGTGGCTAAAAAGGTAGTTACTGCACTGCTCATCCCGCTAAAAAACAACCATGGCAGTTATGTAATGCTATAAAGATGCTTTTCAGTAATGCTGGACAGAGCGGGGGTGAACCAGAAAGAGTTTCAGCTTCAGTTTCAGTTTCAGCCTGGGGAATTTACTGTTAACTTCACTGTTCGTTTGGTCACAACCTGTCATCAAGAGGAAAAATCGATCCAGTCATAGAAACACTGACGCAGTGTTGAGTCTTTAACGCACACTTCTTCTTTTTTTCCCTTTCCTGAAATGTATCCATTTCTCTCTCTCTCTCTTGCATAAGTATTTAAAATAAAAACCTGCCCAGCGAGCTTCCCGCATGTTTCAGATACATAAATGAGTCACTGTGTGTGTGTTTGTTTCCCTCCAGAGTTTCCTGGTTGTGCAGAACTCTGAGACGTCTCAGCCCGGCCTGCTGTGTGTGTCTGCTGGAGGAGAGAATGGAGCAGTTGTTGATTATAATATCAAAAGCACAGGCACAGGTATAGACTAACAGCATGTACCACCTTCTCTCTTTGTGTGTGTGTGTGTGTGTGTGTGTGTGTGTGTGTGCGTGTGCGAGTGATGCATGTGTGACTCTTAGTGGTTATTTTTTGAATCATTACATCTGCTTCAACTGACAGATTAGACTGATAAATAGTTGCAGTGACCCGATAACATCGCAAGTTCTGCAGTTCTGCTTTTCCGCTGTTGAACTGAAGTATTCAAACCTGACATTACAGGAGAGAAGGTGAGAGCAGGTGAGCAGTTACCTCATCAAATAGGCTCTCAATATGCAAATACTGTTTCCTTAAACTGAGCTCTTTTTTACTGATGAGACCAGCACCCGTTAGTGCTGCTTTTACTGCTCTGCAGAAGCGTGCCGTGTGTTTTAAAATTACAGGCTGAAGAGACTAACGTGACCGCTCAGCATTGGAACCCGCACAGTATCAGAAAATAGGACTCAACGGCTGATGTGAAAGATAAAATTGATGAAATGTTCTCTTTGGCTTATCTTTAGAAGTCCCCCCCCCCCTCAGTGTGTTTCCAGGAATCTGTCTTTCGACTGAAATGACTAACTGCCTACTCTTTCCTTGTTTCTCGTGTCAGTCTTCCAGCTGTCTGAGTCTCGTCTGTCTTTCTCTGACTTGGCTCAGCTCGTGCTCTTCTACTGTCTGACCAGGTAAGAACCTGCTGTGTCACCGATGCCTTTTTGTTTGTCGTGTGTGATTGACCTTCCATTTGAACTCGGGCTTCTCTAACGTTTTATTTGCAATTGCATAAATGCGGCACCAGCATTGCTACGAATATCTTTATGTGTTTTCGCGTGTTAACCGTGTAAACATAACTTTTTGGTATTTTCGATTCAGTTGAAAAGTATTGTCATGTTTCATCTTCTCCCCGTCATCTCTTCCTGTGTGTCAGGGATGTGTTGTCTGTCTGTCTTTCCATTCCTCACTGGATCTACAGTGTAACCGAGCAGACCAAAGATTGTCTCTCTGAACTTGAACCCAGTGAGTCCTTCCATCTCTCTGACTTTCAATCTCATATCAGAAACACAAAACCAGAAAGATATTTTTTAACTGTCTCATTTATAATACCTCTCTACGGCAGATACTTGGCTCTGCACGTCGACTGACCAGCACACTGATGAAATGACCCAGCGGGAGCCAAGCAACGTAATGTGCTCCATACAGGTATATACTGAGTGTGTGTAAAGGAACAAGTGATTGTAACAACTTCCGTATTTACAAGACAGCATGTTTATTAATGCCTTAAAACTGCATTAATCAATGTTTTTAAATTAACAATGAAAATAATCAAATATTTATGGGTAGTATGAAGTCGCTCGTAGCGACGAACCTACAGAAATTCGCCATCTCTGCAGTCACCACCTAGCTGGCGACTGGCTTTGCCTCTTGTCTACATAGTGCAGCATTCAGCAGCTAAAGAGACAGATTACTCTGAATTGGTGGAGACCCAAAAGTAGAGTGACTGTTGGACTTGCATTTACCAGGTGGCAAGAAAGATGACTGCTGGATGCTTAATCGGCATCTGGTTCCTAACACCTCGGCGATATAAACTTCATAAAGTGATAATATATATAATTGTTGCGCTTACAAGTTGGCAGTAAATCAATTAATACCGCCTTAAAGAAGAGGTTGCAAAGCTTATTTTACGCCTGCGTTGTGGTGAGCAGTGTTACAGGAAGCATCTTATTTCTTCACTATTTGTGTGCGTGTGTGTGTGTGTGTGTATGTGTGTTCCCCTAGCTGACTTCCACCAACGGGGCCCTGTGCATCATCAATCCCCTCTACCTTCATGAACACGGAGATGATTGGCTGACCCATCGAGCCACGCAGCCATCAAAGTACAGGCGAGAGCGACGCCTCAGCTCCACCAGAACATGGGCGGGGTCCGGGTTACAGAGCCAACGAGCCATCTCGTTGGATCAGGAGTCCTCCGCTGCCAGTATGCAGAGTTCTGGTGAGGACTCGTTACTTGCTGCTCTATTTGCTATTTGACTATTCGTTACCACGACTTGTTGTTTTTACATTTTTGTTTGAACACAAATTATTCATACACTCTATAACCTGTTAATTAGCAAGGTGTTTGCTGGTAGGTGGACTTTCGGACAGAGCCAGGCTTTCCCCCCTCTTCCAATGTTTATGCTAAGCTAGCCGGCTCCTGCACACCGCCCTATCAGGAGGCAGTACCTTCATAATTTAGCATGCAAACTTGATATGTTATTATCTAACTATCTATATAATTATTTCTTGATTTAGGAACTATTTATCCAGGAAACTTCTCTTAAAACTGTCCGTATGGCAAAATCTACTGTTGTTAAGTGGAATAATCCAGCTGAACTGACCCTTTGAACACAAAGGCCAACATGATGTTCATCATCTATGTTTTCCAGGTCTTATCAGAGCCATGTCTGCTGATTCACCAAATTGCCCACCAACCCCGTCAACCCCAGCTGTTCCAGAAGGGGTGATTCTCAGGAGGCCCAGCAGAGATTTGGCCTCCAGCCCTCTCCACAGAGCGAGCACGGGGAGCCTTCCTCCGTCTACTCCCTCCACCCCTGGAAGTTCAAATACAATATTTGAGCTGCAGGACCATGGCAGCCCGGTGCCTCAGTCTCCTCACAGGGTGTCCTGGATTGAGGATGGATTTTGGCTGCCTCCGCCCAGGCCTTCCTCTTTGCTCCACCCCCCGTCGCTGGAGCTCGACTCGCTGTCGGTCAGCAGCATGGAGGAGGAGCAGGAGTCCCAAGTGTCAAGCCCCACCGTGCACCACCCGTCCGCGCATCGGTTGGCCGAGAAGGTCATCCATCGTCTCTCGGCAGTGGGCCAGGCTCTCGGCGGGCTGGTGAGTCAGAAGAAGAGACTAACCAATCGCGTGCAGGAGCTGAGCGAGCGGAAAGGTGCGGCGTTTGCGGAGGCGGTGAAAGGGTTCGTGGAGATGACGCTGAAGAGAGGGGCCGATCCCGGCGGGCTCACAGGGTCAGAATTCTTACAGGAAGTGAGGTCATCGCTCACGTCCCTGAAGGAGACACTGTTGGACTACCAAGAAATCCAGGCGTTGTTGGACAGCATCACTGACATGAATGACTTAGAGACCGGTGAGTGAGCTGAAAATGTAGATTTCAATTAAGTGTTTACATAATTGACAGAACTGTTATTGTTTTACAACTCCAATTTCTCCTCACGTACCTTTCGACCCTCCTGCAGACTCTCTGCTCGAGCTCACCCTCCACAGGGTGGCTCTGAAGCCCGTCTCCGAACACCTCTACTCCTGCATTTATATCTCCCGGACTGATGACGGCAGCTTCGAGCGTCTCCACAGCAACATGCTTGTGCTGGAAAAGAACAGCGTGGAGGATCTCGGGGGGTCGGCGGGAGTTGGAGTTCCCGACGCTGTCAGCCTGGAGCGGATCCAGCAGAGGTGGACTAGTATGCATGACGCCTACTCCCCAAACAAGAAGGTCCACATCCTTCTCAAAGTCTGCAAGAGCATCTATCACAGCATGAGTGCTAATGCTAGCTCAGGTAGCAAGCTGTTTGTTTGTTTTTTAAATCATAATTTTCATTTTATTTGTCTGTTAGTTACCCTTTAAATTCATACTCTCCTCTCCTGCAGGTACAGCGTTTGGAGCGGATGACTTCCTGCCCTGCCTCACATGGGTGCTGCTCCGTAGTGACGTGGTTACCTTACACCTGGACACAGACTACATGATGGAACTGCTGGACCCCACACAGCTGCAGGGAGAAGGTAAGACACACCGCTCATGCTCATACACACATTTCCTCAAAAACACTCCTAGACTCGGTTGTGGCAGCACTTCTTACGTTCAAACTTCGCCTCGTTATAATGAAAGAAAATGGAGATTTACACATCACTAAATTAAAACAGGTTGCGCCACACCAACTTTCTTAGATTCATTTTATCTAAATAATCTTCTTCTAGTAGCTGTTGTGACTGAACCAGCCAACTGACTACTATTAGCTTGCTAAGATTTGACCCGTTTTTCTGACTCGACATTTGAAAACGAAAATAACACGACGACGACAAAATATGCCAATAATGACCAAGTACTGTCAACTCTGTTTGCATAATCACATTTCCCCACTCATTACTCAGTATTAACTCCTAAACACACTCTCTATGTATGCAAAGCATGTATGAATAAAACAAAGTCACGCCCACATTTTCTAGATAAGCAAACAGATTAAGTAATGCCGAGCTCACACTACACGACTGCGGCTCCGCCTCAAAAGCCCCAGATCAGAGGCGAACCGGCGCTCAGGCTCTGTGTGTCAACTGGTTAAAGACGATTCATCGCAGATGGATTCCAAGAGTCTGTCAGGGAGCTACAGCCAATGAGAGCACAAGAGGGGAAACCTGGCGGAAGGGGCCGCCTGTAACAATAGGAACTTTACTGTATGTGTTGCCTTCACAACACGGACTAAAGTTGTTGTTGTACCTAGAGGATCAGGCTATAAGTAGTTAAGACGTGTGGAAACGACAATAACAAGCTTCTTGCATGTGTTTTTGTGATAACTCGTAGTTCGGAGACCTCCTAGGGGGATTCCTCCTGGGGAAAGATCTCGTTGTCTCCCTGTCAGCGGTCAGTCATGTCATGTGGAAACCACGACTTGGAAGACTCCCGATTGCAAGACAGCAAGCGTACAGCGGTCTGAAGACTTTGAAAGTCGTGTAGTGTGAACTCTGCTTGAATTGCAAAGGACTTTACACACTAAACTTAGCGATAGTTCTGATAACTTTCTTCTCCTCTCCAAATGGAGGTGTGGGTTTGATCCCCACCTGTGCTCATGTAGTAGATGTTTTTTCCCACTGATTATAAGGATTCAGATGCTGTTTAACTACGTTTACAAGTCACAGACCATCTCCCTTTCTGCATTCCCCATATCAACAGGTGGCTACTACCTTACAACCCTATACGCCTCTCTTTACTACATCAGCAGCTTCCGGCCACGGCTGGCCGCCCGTCAGCTGAGTGTCGAAGCCCAACACTCTCTGAACCAATGGCATCGCAGGCGAACGCTGCACTGCAACCAGTCGCGACGCAGCAGGAACCGACGGACCATTCGCAGGCAGGCGGGCCGGGACAAGCCAGCGCAGAACTCCGAGACAGACGCCGAGAGTAAAGAAAAGGAAAGTGGGAAAGAAAATGATTCTGTTAACAGTGAGGAGCCACAGCAGCAGAAGGAAAGCACCGCTGGGGCTCTGCAGCTGCTGAAGGAGGAGATGAGCACAGGGCGAGGAGCTGAGGACGAATCACAGGTGTCCTCCCCGGCATCAGACTGTAATCAGCGAGACGTGATGAGGAGCAAACAGATAGACAGACAGACTCTTTGTACAGAAGGAGAAGAGGAACACAGATGATTGTTATGGAGAGAAGAAGGAGAAGAGTTTCTCTTAATGCAAAGAATGGCATTAATCATTTTATGATCGTGTCTCAGTGGGTCAAACACTCCTAAAAGCTGCAACGCAAACCACCTGCATGTTTCGTGCTGCTGAGGTTCCTCTTCTCTGGAGACCAAAGAAAGCTTTTTAATAATGTCATTAACACTCTGGTGTCGGTTGATTATGAAATTATGGTCGGGAGTCCTTCGAGGATCCTTCTTAAGATAAATCTGAAGGATTAGTTTAAAGGGAAAAGGAGATTTTAGAGAGTTAACTTAAGCTTCCTTTTTCTTACAAAGTACTTAATATATTTTACCTCTTCAGGAGTCTGACAATCTTTCAGATGGAGAATTCATAGATGCAAAAATCCCTGTCACACTGCCCATAACTTGGGACAAAGGGGTCATAAGTGCACACTGCTTCATCAGGTTAGGAAGCACCGGCCTTGAAGTCATAGTTTTATTGTGAAGAAGAGAAGAGTTCATATAAAAGTATTATTAATATATTCATTTGGGAACAAACGATTTTTTTGAATATGCTTTACTGAAACTAATGTCATTTTTGATTTGTAAATATTAACATGAAAGCAACAAATGTGCAAAGAAGAGTGCATTAATGAAACCGATCAAGTTTTGGTTCTCTCTTAGTACCATTTACAGCAGCAACTCTTCATGTGTTATTATTATTGCAGGTCATTTAACAGCACTTTTATATACAATATAGTGGCGAGTGGTTGTTAAATAGCGGATAAAGCAAACGGGTTCCCTTTAACCTCTCATCAACCCTGAAGTTACGTCCATAGCTGGTGAACTTAGTTTAGCATTTAGCAGCTAAAGATCCAGATGTTTCCCTCACAAAACAGCTAAAAGAGAGTGAATATCGGAGGAACATTTATGTGATGAGTGTGTCATTCTGCTTGATGCGGAGTTCTCCTGAATATAATGCTGTTGTACCCCTTTGAGCTTTTGCCTTTCATTTATATACTGTTTCTTCTTTGTACGTTTGTCAGGACTTGACAAAGACAAGCTCACTGGTTGGGCCACTAGAGGGCAGCGTTACACCTCCTGTGAGATGTACAGTTTGTATCCTCCAATGTTTGCATTCACAGTTGGCAGAATAATCACAGGTTTCTGTGTACTGTATTTGTACTGGGAGATATATATTAAATAGAAAAACATATGTTAAATCTTAAATACTTTACCTATACATTGCTTAAAGAATACTAGCATTTGTTGTGGGTTTAAAGATGTCAAAATTGAGTTGAAATGACAAGTGTAGGAGCTGAAGTAGGTGTTGAAGTCAAAACACCAAAAGGATTGAACGTAGGAGATAAAGCTCTAGAAAAGCTGAAATGTTTTTGAAGGACTTCGGCAGCCGAAGGAGCTGAAGGAGAGGCTGAGACACTTAAAAGTTCCTCAAGTTAGCGCTGATAAAATCTGAAGTGACAGTCGAAGCGTAAAGAATTTAAGGCGGTGAAGTTGTCAGAAGTGAAGCTCTTAAAGGCGTTGCAGTGAAACAGTCGAAGCAATGAAGTTGACTTAACTTAAAACTTAAAGTATTTGAAGTTCAAGCACTTAAAGTAATAACATTTACTGTAAAGGAGTGGGATGTCATGATTATTGCTTTACTTGCCTCTTTTTAAATATATTTAAATATTTTACCTACTGTTAAATTGACTGCTCTTTTCTTTGTTCCTTTTTTTTTTTACTTTAAGCAGATTTCTTTTAATTACAGATGTTTAGACACAGCATGGTGGGGAGACAAACTGACAGTTGGGGTTTAATGTCTTCAAATAATTGAAGTGGCAGTGAAAGCAACCGAAGTTGTTTAACAAGCACGATGTTGCCGCCGAATCCTGCACACGGGCCCAAAAATAATAAACACCTGAAGAAGTTGAAGTTTGAGGTTAAAGTGACGGTAGAAGTTCAAACGCTGGAGGAGTTGAATTAAACAATAATAATAACAAACAATAATAGTATTGACTTCAGTGGAAGTGAAGGAGGAAAAGTGAAAGCTAAGGTTTAAAGCACTAAGGAGCTGCTCACAGTAAAACACAAATAGGTGTTGAAGCGTTTTGTAGGAAGTGAAGTAGCAACATTTTAGTGCAACTTTCCATTTCATCTATTTTACTGGAGTATTACTTTGTTCAATCTCCTATTATAACGATTTTACGTAAACAAGAGCCTGTAAATTCAAATATTAACAAAATAGCTAATGAATGCACATACATCAGGCATGAACACATGTAAATAGTTATACAGGGGGCCCTCTTATGTAAATGCACACACTCACACACATATGGAACTGTATCATCGCTGCATTCTAAATGACCGAGCCAATCAAATTTGCCTAATGAGACATCTGGCATTCTGCCTGCATGTGGATGTCAAACCTAGAAACAGCTGGGCCTTTATACACACACACACACACACACACACACACACACACACACACACACACA